TCAGGGACTCTCGGACTAGGATAGATTTGTTGTGGGCAGGGAGGGGCAAAGTTCAGCACAGAATTCCATTGGGAGGCTCTCAGGATAATCCAGGGAGAAAGAATCCCAGACGCCAGCATAGAAAGAAATGTTGTGTGGCTCAGTGGTCCTCCATCCTGGCTGTCCTTAAATTTATCTAAAGAGTTTTTTTTTAAAAAAGGTATTCCCTTGACTGAGAAAATCTGAATACCTGGGAGTGGGTGGTGGTGGTGCTTTTAGGAAGTTCCCCAAGGTGATGCCTATCGCATCAGCCCTGAGATCAAGTTTTTGAGGCCATGGTTTGCTTCTCCAGTGGGCTGCCCCATGAAGCCTGCACGGCAGTCCTGTAAAATTGGCCGCCTCAATGGTGGCTGGAAAATGGGTAAGAAGAATCTTCTTCCATTGGAAGAATCCTATGTGACCAGGGTACGGAAATGAATTCTGTTTTGGATCAGAAAATACCACCTGCCTTCACACAGCTAATGTGCTTTTCTGTGGCTGTAAAAGTATCAACATTTCCACTGATCTTTGCCCACAGGTCTGTCATATTTGGGGGAATCTGAGGAATCTGGAAAGTGCTTGAATTTTCTTGCATTCTTCCAATTCCTTAGACTTTTATTTAAGAGACACATTCCATGTAGCTGTGGCATTTGCCTTGAGTCCTGATTTTGGTAGCCTGTTGTCAAAGAAGGCAGGGAGCCTAACCATTCCCCCTGTGAAGAGAGGGCACACAGAACGTGGAAGTAATCACATCCCAACCCAGTTGCTGTTGCTCAACTGGTTTAAGATCAGCGAGTTCAACAGAATGATGACGGGGTTGGGGAATTTCTGTTTAACTCACTGTTGAGGGGTAAAGGGAAGATAGGGTCATCCCCTCATGCCAAGAAATGTGCAAATATGGACTAATGGTTCCCAGCCTTACACAAAAGGGTCTCCTGGACCTCATTCATCTTATATAACTAACCACTAGAGCTGTTTCCAATAAATACTTCCTGTTTCCTCAACACATTTGTCTGTTGTTTGCTCAGAGAAAACCCAGGCATTAAAGCGGCATTGTATTTCCATTGTGCTTTTGGTTTCTGATGGAGTTTTTTGCTCGGTGGACAAAAAGATTTTTAAAAATCATCTTCGGGGCACCTGAGTGGTTTAGTCACTTAAGCATCTTACTCTTGATTGTGGCTCGGGTCATGACCTCACAGTTCATGGGATTGAGCACTGCAGCAGGCTCTGCTGAGAGCATGGAGCCGGCTTGGGATTCTCTCTCTCCCTCTCTCTATGCCCCTGTCCTGCTTTCACACTCTCACTCTATCTCCCTCTCTCAAAATAAATAAAAAACATTTTAAAAAATCATCTTCATAGTTGCATATATTGAAGGAAAAGCCATACCTTTAGAGCCAGTTAGAGATCTCCAAAACTGGGCATGAGAATTTAGTGACTGAAGTAATGCAATGTGTACATGGTTTTAATATTTTAAAGGTTGCTCAGTGTCGTATGTATTTTTAAGGGCAGAACCTGTCTTGCTCATTTCTGTGAGTCCTGGTTCTGTCTCCACCATGGCATTTGCATGTAAAGAAAACTCATTTGAAGAAGTGATTTCTCTGCTTGTTTCCTCATCTGTGTATCTTGGGGATTTTAGTAATCCACATTTTAGGATCAGTCTGAAAAGTGAGTGAATTAATATGCCTTAAGTGCCTCGACAGAGCCGTGCACATACTAAGCACTCAATAAAAGCCATTGACAATTGTCAGGAGGCCTCTGGGGGGCAACATTTGGGATAGGCCTTGAAGGATGAGTGAATTTGACACTGAGAACATGGGACAGCATTTCATGCCAGGAAGTCACAGTGGTGTGTGCCGAGATGAGTTTACTTTGGCGAGGAGACAAAGTGAAGAGAGGGAACTGAAAAATTAGGTTGCGTACCTCACGGAGAACCGGGGAAACCATGCAGAGGTGTGCAGACTTGATTTTCCAGGTATTGGAGCTCTAGTGAAGTCAGTGAGAGAGAGAGACAAGATCAAGACTGTAGATTGGAAAGTGTGAGGACCTAGGATTGGGAAATGGACTCTCTCAGAGAGAGAATTGGAGACAAGGCGCTGTACTTGGGAGACCAGAGGGAAAGTAATGGACTGGATCAGGGGGCGAAACCAGAAAGGGTGTTCTCTGCTCCACTTGGATGAACATATGTATCCATTTCATGTTAAATAAAATAAAAATACTCATTTTTTTTTTTAAATCAGCACTTACATCAGATTGTTACCATTTTCTCTCAGTAACTGGAAAGGGGTGGGAGTGAAGTCTATAACTATTCCATTTATTTAAAAACCAGTGACAACGTTTTACAGTTTTTACAATGTTCTAATTCTGATGTCTGTAGGAGCAGTGTTCAGTTGTTATGCAGCCCAGGTATTCATGAGTGGACTTTTTTTTTTTTTTTTTTAATGTTTGTTTATTTTTGAGAGAGAGACAGAGTGCGAGCAGGGGAGGGGCAGAGAGAGAGGGAGTCACAGAATCTGAAGCAGGCTCCAGGCTCCGAGCTGTCCGCACAAAGCCCGACACAGGGCTCTAACTCAAGAACCATGAGATCATGACCTGAGCCAAAGTCAGACACTTAACCGACTGGGCCACCCAGGCAAGGCACCCCTGGACATTCTTAAGTATAAACTAGATAGAAACTTTCCTATTTCCCATGGTTTCACATCTGAAAGAAAATCACATTTTCATCCGTTTTAGGGTAAGGAAACGGAAGGTAAAATTTCTGGATCTCTGCAGTTCTTGAAAATACTGCTTTTTAGCCGTTGTGTAACTAAAGGCCGAGGAAGCAAACCTTTGCCTGTCCACATCATTGCTTTCTAACCAAGTGGCCTTGAGAAGAGTGGCTATTTGGACACAGCTTTGTAGATGACTCTGTGGTTGTGTGGGGGCTTTTCATTTCCTTAGTTGTGGGAAGTGAGTTAAGAGAATGACAAGACAGCAATAGGCCACTGGGGTTCGTGAAATCACGGGGGCCCTTAAATGAGCAATATGTTTGAGAACACCTGGTAATTTGTAAAGTATTACATAAATAAATGTGAAGGCTTTTTAGAAAAATGCCATGTATCTTACATGCCTCTTGGCAGGAAGCCATTGTAATAAGAAAATCAGGAACATGCTCTGAATAGGTGGCAATATTGGCTAGTGAATTGTGTCTAATTCAGGCTTTTGTGCGTGTGCTGACCCGGTGTCCTGTCTGAATATAGTCAGAAAAGAGTACACAGTGAGAATTTCTGGTAAATATTAAGAAAGCAAGTGCATTTACTTTTTAACAATCTGTTATTCAGAGTCTAACAATCCATTCAATGGAAGTAACCTCTAAATAGTCAGGAAAAGCAAGTTATTTTTTTTTAAAAAAAACTTTTTTTAAGCAAACACAGCTTTTTTAAATTTCCTTGTCTGTCTTTGAACAGGAGCCACAGAGATAGAGGGAAAAAAAAGTTTCCTCCTTCTTTAAAATAAAACGTTGAGCTTTTATGTTTTTCCAGCAATACGGTTTTCTAGAAAATGTTTATTTTATGATTTTACGTAAAGCTTCATTAATCCCTTTCTGAGACAAGGCGTGGATATGAATACATGAAAAAATGTTAAGTACAGGTAATCCACACTGGACAATTCTGTATATTCTTGTATTCAGTGCAAACATTGAGGTTCTTATAAATGGATGTCCCTTTCTCCACCAGTCCCAAATTCACTCCTGCATCATGTTTAATAATGCTGCTCTCCTTGCTACGCTGAAAAGATTCGTGAAAGTAAACTTGGTCATGCCATTTATTTCCACTCACGGGCCTTAATTGTTTTTAGTTTGAGTGTTAACTAACTCACCAGGAGATAGCAGGTTGTTTTTCTCTTTGGCACGCTCTATAAGGACACCCCTACTTGCTTTAAATGAATGTGAGTGTTCTAAATTACCTTTCTGTAAAGGCCAAGGAACTAGTGAAATAATATGGGGGAAAGTGCTCTGAAACCGTTAAGTTACTAGACAAAAGTAAGATCTGTATGCTTCTCCTAATACGGATTTTCCATCTCCCTCTGGCTCAGAGGAGAGATGCTTAATGAAGATTTGAATCTGGAGTAAATTAAGCAATGTTGAGGCATATATAAATGAGTGAATCACCTTACATAACTGAGTACTCTAATGGCCTATGGAAGGTGGGAAGAAGAGTTGAAGGAATATTCTTTGTGCAAGTGGAGAAACTAATCAGTGTGCCCCAGACCTCCTCTGTGAGTCAGTTTTAACGGGATTGTAAATATGTGCTTGAGTGAGTTTGAACACAGTGTGTCAGTTGCTCTTGGGCTTTCTGTTTATCAATACTATCTACAAGATGTTAACCACAGGGAAGCAGGGCTTTCTTAGGCATTTTGGCCTGCCAAGATTGTGGGATTTATGGACCTAATGCCCTCTGGGTCACCTGACAGCCTGGGTCTCTTCTGCTGGATGCGCCTGAAGGCACACTACCTCAGCACCTGGGCCTTTTCTGCACATCCCATTGTGGGGCACAAGGTCTGGTCCATTGGGCAGGTTAGTTCTCTTCCAGGGCATCACGTGTATTTGGTGGCCTTTTGTTGATGTTAACACTAAACCAGGTTAGACCATCTAGGCTTAAAATTATTTAATCCCTCCTCAACCTGCTCATTATGCCCTGTTTTCACACTCATTTGTAACCAGAACACAGGAGCGGCACAGAGTAGTAACCTACTGTTAAGACCCCATTTTTAATTTTTAAGGAAAGACGGGTCGTTATATGCATCTTCTATAGTCTGAAAAGAAGCACAATAATTTAAACCATTTTATTTAAGTGGCTTTTGTGTATGTGTCTATGTACTTATCTTGCTTATCCATTGTCACCAGACCTATTTTGCCTCTATAACAAAATCAGAGTTTGTTAAGGAAGAAAGCATGCTGGCGTCCCGATGCCTGACATTGCTGTCTTTCTTCTGTTCTGTTACAGAAATTGAAGCCAAGGAAGCTTGTGATTGGCTACGGGCAACAGGTTTCCCCCAGTATGCACAGCTTTATGAAGGTGAGTGGGGAATGCCATTTTTTTTTAATTGGCATAATCGTATCCTTGGTTCATGATATTATCGATCTATGATTTATTTCAGACATTTTAGTGTTCATTAAAATATTTCATTAAGAAAACAATGTAGTACATCCTAAGGCCCCCATCATTCAAAAGCTAGGACCGTGATTATAGTGCATCTAACATTTTCTCCCATCGGGTGCCTCTACCCCCTACCCAAAATAACGATCATCCTGAAACTTCTGTTTATCATTTTCCTTTTGCACTTTCCTAATACATTTTTATAAAGTTGCTTTGACCCTTATAAAAAGGATATTATCCTCTATGTAATCCCGTAGGATTTAATTTTTTTCAATATTAGTGTATTGTTAAGATTCTTCTATAGTGTGTGTCCCTCTAGGTTGCTTGCTTTGACTACTGTGTAACAGCCCATGTGGGGGTAGACCGCGGTTTATGCATATTCACTCCCTGATTGGTGGGCATTTCAGCTTTTCCTGTTTTATTTTTATAAACTGTAGTCTTAGGAACATTCTTGTACATGGTCGTACTCTGCAGTAATTTGTCTTGGCTGTAATACGTAGGGGCAGAAGTATTGGGTGATGGAGAACATGTATGTTCAGTTTTACAATGCAGGTTTTTCAAAAGTGCCTGTATTGATTTTCACCCCTGCCAATAATTCTGTAAAGATTCTTTCTGTTGACATGCTCTCAGCACTTGATTTTGTCAGACTTTAATATTTCCCAATCATGCGGATATATTTTGACTTCCGTTTCCCTGATGGTGAATGGTAATGCTCATTTCTTCATATCATCTGGCCATATGTATTTGCTCTTCTGTGAAATGTCTGCTGCCCATTTTTCTCATGAGTTGATAGCACTTTTCATAATGATTTGTAAGAGCTCTTCATTCTATATATAGTAAGCCTTTATTGGTCATGTGTTGCAGATATATTTCCCCAGGTTGTAATTAGGCTTTTTACTGTTGTTTAGATTGTCAGTTGATGAATATTATTTTCTCTGTGGCATTCACAGGTTTTAAAAATTTTTTTAATATATTTTATTTCTGAGAGAGAGACAGCATGAACAGGGGTGGGTCAGAGAGAGAGGGCGACACAGAATCTGAAACAGGCTCCAGGCTCTGAGCTAGCTGTCAGCACAGAGCCCAACGCGGGGCTCAAACCCAGAAACCATGAGATCATGATCTGAGCCAAAGTCACATGCTTAACCGACTGAGCCACCCAGGCACCACCAGCATTCACATTTTTAATTAACAAAAACGGATCTTTTTTTTTTAATTTTTTAACATTTATTTATTGTTGAGAGACCAAGCATGAGCAGAGGAGAAGTAGAAAGAGACACACACACACACACACACACACAGAATCCAAAGCCGTCTCCAGGCTCTGAGCTGTCAGCAGAGCCTGATGCAGGGCTCGAATTCACAAACCATAAGATCATGACCTGAGCCACCCAGGAGCCCTGGAACTTTAAAAAAAAAGAAAATTTTTTTAATTTAAAAAAATTTAAAATTTAAATTTTAAAATTTTAAAAATTCAGATCTAGGCTGAATTTTTACTTCTTCATTTTGTCATCAGTGCCCTTCGCGGTTACTGGGATGCTGTAGCACAGGGTGAAGAGCCCCTCAGGTGTGGCTCATCCTGAGCTTCCGGCTGCCAGCTGTGGGGGGAGCATTCGTGCACGTGGCAAGGTGAACAGGCTGTTCATTTACATGGGATTTGTATCATACTCTACTTGTTATCATTTAAAAAGAATTGCAGGGGCACCTGAATGGCTCAGTTGGTTAAGCTTCTGACTCTTGGTTTCAGCTTCAGCTCAGGTCATGATTTCACAGTCTTGAGACTGAGCCTCACATCGGGCTTCATGCTGGGCGTGGAGCCTTCTTAAGATTCTGTCTCCCTCTCCATCTGCCCCTCCCCTCTTCGTGTATGCTCACACTCTCTCTCACTCTCAAAAAATAAAAAATAAAAGCTGCGCCTGGGAGGCTCAGTCAGTAAAACATGCCCCTTTGGTTCACGAGTTTGAGCCCTGCATCAGGCTCTGTGCTGGTAGCTCAGACCTGGGAGCCTGCTTCAGATTCTGTATTTCCCTTGCTCTCTGCTCCTTCCCTGCTCGCTCGCTCTCTCTCAAAAGTAACATTTAAAATAAATAAATAATAAAAAATTACACTTGTGAACCAGTGAACTCCATATATATGGGTAATTTGCAAGCAAATGTTGGGTGAATAGTGAGATGATTTCCTAAACTGAGAGCAAATTAAGTGACTTCCAGGGCTTCTTCCGCCTTGAGCATTCTTTGCTTCCTTAACTCTGCTGAGATAATGACACTAAATGTCTCTCATTCATTCATCCATCATCCGTTCAACTACTTAACAAACCATTATTATTTCCACACCAACAGAGATGCCCAGCACTGTGGTAAATTCTACATATTTTCTAAAAATAAACACAGAATTCAGACATCAGAGAGGACCTTTAAGGGAGTGCCAGAATCTAAAAAAGCAAATGGCATTTTGGTTGATTTACATTTAGACAATACATCGGGATGCTAGGAGAGAGCCATGAGGTGACAAAATTTCTAAAAGATTCAACTGAAATGAAATATTTTCACCAAAGATGTTTGGCTCTTCTCACAATAGATAGTGATTTTAAAACATGTCTTTACCCCTAGGATAACAGCAATCAGACTTAGAGTAGCAGTGGCATTGGGCTCTCGGATGGAGCTAGTGATCACTGGCAACCTTCTTTACCACATGAGCAAAAGCGAAAGCCCACGAGCCCATGCTAAGAGTAGGAATGGTGCGCAAGCTCCGAAGTGCGAGACATGATCAGCAGGTTGCCTTGAAGAGGGATATGGAGTGGGTGGGTGAGTCCTCCCCAGAAGGAAGTCAGGCAGAGACCAGAGAGATCATTTTTATTTCCCTGGCTCACTCAGCTAAAATAATTCATGGCCTAATTTACATGACCCCGTCTTCTTCACTGCAGCCCAGACTGAACGTGCAATATTTTTTCCATGAACTTGAACTCAGAATTGTTTTATTTCTAGACTGTGTAAAATATGTTCTTATTCCTCCATTATAAAGAAGATCGCTGATTCCTTTTCCTTTTTTCTTGTTTCTTTTTTCTTTACTTTCTTTTTTTTTTTTTTTTAAAGGTACTTAGTTAGCCTGCATGCTTATTATGGTGGTGGAGTTGCTTATCTGTCCTTTAGAGAGAATTTCGGACCTATTAACATTTAGAGTATCTGTCTTTCACAAATGCTTGGAGGTGGGGAGGGCTGGAGAGGGCCCACCCTTCTATCGCCTTCAATTCACAGCTCCACTGGAGACGGGAAGATAATTGCATTAGCAGTGGAGGTAAGGTGGCTGTTCTTCTGTTCTCCTGTTTAGAAATTAAGTTTCCTCCAATTATGTTCATTTTTGGTGTTGATTTGCTGCCAAGCAGCACTTTCTTGTGAAGTGTCTGTTTGCTAAGACTCAGTTCCAGTCTCTGTCTTCCTTCTTAATGAGTCCTGAAATTCAGACTGCATTTTCATGGAGTATGTTTGGGGTCTCTTCACATTTACAAGTCTTTTGAAGCATAAGCCTGCTTTGAGATATACTGTGTATTGTTCTGGGCTATAACTTCTGCGCTGCATCCTGCCGCTCTGTGCGCGGTGAGCATACACACGCAGTACAGCAACCCACACATTCCTTGTCTTCCTGTTTTGCTTTATTTTGGTCTTCGGCAAGTTATACTTCCTGCCCTTAAATCCAAGCTGGAAGATTAAATCCTAACGTGAAGAACTGAGAGCTTCTTCTATACATTCTATTCAATTGAAATCATATCCTTTAAAAACCAGTCCTTTCAGAAGAGTCTAGGCCAATAGAAGAAAAACAGTTATTTAATTATTTCACTTCTCTCTTAACGTCTAGTGCCTACGCATGCGAGATTTTTTTTTTTTAACAGAATCATAATTTGAATTGGAAAGGAATCTAGTGTACAGTTCTGGATACACTAAGTTAGAATTGCTAAAATAACACAGTTGTGGTTTCCTATGCACTTAACAGACATGTGAGCTTTTAATTTACATTTATAGATCTGATGTTATGCTGTGGGAATATTAAAAATATATTCTTTAATGTCAGCTCTGTCATTTAATACTTGAAGCTCTGGACATCCATTCAAAGTGATATAAAATGTCATAACCTCCAAATAGCATTTTAGTCTGCTGTGCTTGTATTTACAATTGTTTACATTCACTATAAGCCTATAGCATTGGTCTGTAAATTAATGAAGAGATAAATTCCTGCCAATTTCATATATTTCTTCATAAATCTTGAGCTGCTTCATTGGTCTGCCTACGTTATTCAGGGAATAGTATCAATAATCTAACTCTGACTTTCAGAAAAATGAATAGACTAAAACACTAATTATGTTAGTTTCCAACAGAAAAAAAAAGCTAATTCTTAATCATTATCTCTAGCAAGTAGATTGTTAAGAATATGGAGCTCCATTCTGTGAAACCATAAGAACGTAACAGTCAGCTGAAGAACAAGAACATTCATTACTAATCACCTGTATCCCCAGAACTCCTGAGAGCCCAGTCTACCCCAGTATTACAGCATTAGCCATTTTAGAGGCCATGGGGTTTTTTGTGGTGCCCCCCTCTCTCTCTGACTCTCTCTCTCTCTCGGTTATGGTAATCATTGTTTCCTGCCCTGCTGTCTTATTTCACCCATTCCTGACCCATAAAGGTACACACAAGAACTCTGATTTAGCATATCATATAAGCATTCTGCTACAGGGAAGACCGCATATACCATATGCTTGTTTTTATCTAGTGGCGATTCCTGAGCTCTTGTAAATTTCCACAGTGGTGCTGCCCATCATCGTCCCTTCTCCTTGAATGTATTTATCAACAAGTGATAAAAAAGGGAATTCTTCTACTGAGTTGACTTTTTCCCCCTTTCACCTTTTCAGTTCTGCTGTAACTCCCAGTAGT